AACAGTCAGCTGAAGTGGCCTGCAGTACTGCACCCTAACCACTGCGCCACCTCGGCTCTTCAATTTTATCATCAATTTTAACAGCATCTGTACGAATATAGTCTGAAAGGTAACACTACAAACAGTGTATGTTGTCTGTACTGTTTGCTGTTTGTTGCAAGGAGGCAAATTGCTGGGAGGCAGAAGCAGATTTTTCCCCCTTGTTTTCCTCCCCAAAAGCTAGGTGCGTTTTATACTTCGGAGCATCTTATACTCCGAGAAATACAGTAAACCCACATCACTGCCTCCTTGGTTGCTATTTTATCTGGCCCATTTTGAAGCTGTGAAAGAGTTGTGGGGTGCTTTCCCTCACTTTCGTTTTTCCTGCACATCCATTTCCTCCCTTTCTTTGCTGTTGTGTCTTGTTAGTTGCACAACAACAGGAGGCTTCTCTTTTTAAGTTTTAACCACTGCGCAACGATTTAGCGGTGCACGGGCTTTATAAATTAGAAATAACTTTTCTTCTTAATGCAAAGATGGATGGCAGCTAATTTAATTATTCGGAAACCTGCACAGAAATATTTTCTTATTCTTCTTTGCTCTGGAAAATCCACAGATTCGCTCAACCAGTCCCGCAAGGACCAACCTAAATGTTTAAGGAAAATTAAAGGGTTCACAAGAACTCTGGTGCATTTTAACAATTACAAGAGGTTGTTGGTTTTTTTTCACACTCACGGGAACAATAAGCCCTTGCCAAGTCAATAAGTTAGCTTCGTCCACCTGGATATTACGGAAATTCTTCATTCCACATTTGCGGATTTCTTCAAGCTCCTACAAGCAAAGCAGAGGGGGGGAGGGAGGAAAGCATATTAACTACATCAGCCAATATAATCGGTTGTAATATTCAGGAAAACGTGTGTGTTGTTTTTACTTTCATATCTTCTCAATGGAAGTCAAACTGTCCCACAGTTGGTCTTCCCCCCGCTTTCTCTTCCTTTTGTCTTGCTACAGGTTTACTATAAGGACAAACGGAGGGAACAATCTGGAAAAGGCACAATTCCTCTGTTTGACTTTTCACAGAGAACTCAGACTTAATAACAGCCAGCAATCTGGCACTATGTTATAACAGGTAGCCTTCGACTTATGACTTCAACACAGCCCAAAATTTCTCTTGCTGAATGGGACAGTGGTGAAGCGGGTTTTGCCCTGTTTTACGACCTCTCTTGCCCCAGTTGTTAAGTGAATCGCTGCGGTTGTTAAATTAATAGTGCAGTTGTTAAGTGAACCTGGCTTCCCCCACCCCCATTTATTTTGTCAGATGGTCGCAAAAGGGGATTGAATGACCCCGGGACACTGCAACCGTCATAAATACGAGTCAGTGGCGAAGCACCCGAATTCTGACCACTTAACCGTGGGGATGCTGAAAGGGTCCTAAGGGTGAACAAGGGCCATCAGTTACATTTTTCAGCGCCTCTGTAACTTTGAACGGTCACGACTGCATATAGAGGGTCACCTTCAGGAAGGCAATGATAAAAACTCAGTATCTGTGTCCCTGATAAAGTGCTTGCCTTGAGTGTGGTTGGAAATTCAAAATGAAAAGATGACATAACCAGTTCCCCAGAAAATAAGACCTCCCCGGATAATAAGCCCAATCGGGGCTTTTGAGTGCATGCGCTAAAATAAGCCCTCCCCGAAAATATTGCAACACAGCAGCAGCAGCCATGAGGCGACCACGCTCGCCACCTCCTGCACCTCAACAATAAGTTCAGATCCTTGACAACTGGTTTGTATTTATGACAGTCGCAGTGTGATCCCCACTGACAAGCGAAGTCAATGGGGAAGCCATTCACTTAACAACCATGATACTAACGTAACCACTTGCTGCGATTCACTTAAAGAAAAGCCATAAAACTCACTTAACAACTGTCTTGCTTAGCAATGGAAATTTTGGGCTCAGTTTCAGTCATAAGTCGAGGATTAACCCGTGGTGTTATATCTTACAGACCTCCTTAGTTATATCTTACAGACCTCCCCAAAAGACCTCCCCGAAAATAAAGCCAAGTGCTTATTTCAGTGTGTGTGTCAAAATAAGACCCTGTCTTATTTTCGGGGAAAACACGGTAATATAACATAGATGGCAGGCCCCTTTCTATCTATTAAGCAATGTGTGTGAAGAGAGGTTATAATTTCTGAGTAGGCTTCCGCCCGCGTGGATCCATTAAGTTTTCCCTTTTAAAATAGCTCTTTCTCTTAAAATTAAAAAAACAAACCCTGATTTCTTCTTATAATAAATTTTACTTTTTTAAAAAAAAAACTTCCATTTTTTTAAACGTGCGGTTACTACATTCGGGGCAATGACAGATTTTAATCAAGGCATCCAGCTTGGCAGATCCTTCTAGAGATAGTTACTTTCAACAGTTCACTTAGCGACTCTTCAAAATTACAATGGCACTGGGGGGAAAAAAGCAATTTTGCCTGTCAGAGGGTCGCAAAAGAGGATCACCCGGGACGCTGCGACTGTCATAAATACGGATCACTTGCCAAGTATCTGAATTTTGATCTTTTGATGATGGAGATGTTGCAACAGTGATAATGTGAAAAACCATCCTTCCCTCCCCCGTGTCGTTGTAGCTTCAAACGGTCACTAAATGAACTGTTGTAAGTTGAGGACTGCTTGTACAACCAGCTGTTCAGTAGTGTAATGCTTCCAAGCCAGACTGTCACAAAGAAGAGGGAGTCAAGCTATTCTCCAAAGCACTTGAGGGCAGGACAAGAAGCAACGGATGGAAACTAACCAAGGAGAGAAGCAACTTAGAACTAAGGAGAAATTTCCTGACAGTCAGAACAATTAATCAGTGGAACAACTTGCCTCCAGAAGTTGTGAATGCTCCATCACTGGAGGCTTTTAAGAAGAGGTTGGACAACCATTTACCTGAAACGGTATAGGCTTTCCTGCCTGAGCAGGGGGTTGCACTAGAAGACCTCCAAGGTCCCTTCCAACTCTGCTATTCTGTTAATTCAGATTATATCAAGTGTTTTCCATGCACTGCCCCTAGAAAGGAGCATCACACAGAAATATTCCCTACAGTTCCTTACAATTGCAGCCAATGTAAGCAAGTAAACGAAGCCATAACTGCAAACCAAACAAAAAATTTAAACAGCAAAATAATTAGAAGAAATTAACCAAAATAAGAATTATACCCTTATCTAGGGAAAAAAAAACCTTCTCTTCAAACGAGCATGTAGCCAACCTTACAGCCTAAAGAAATTGCCCCATGCCACGGGAAAGAAGAACTTGTTTTTTTTAAACTGGGAGCACCACTCCTCTCCCAATATTGATAATAGTTAGCAAAGGCTCAACGGGGTAACAAAAGCTTGAAAAGAAAATGTCAAGAATAACATACAAACAAGATAG